GCAGATGACTTGGAAACTATTTCCAACACCCGTAAGGGCATCAGCAACCTTCACCAAGTGGTAGCAGGCTTCCTTCAATGGACGGCATCAATGCCCAGCCTGTAGTAAACAGCACCCTCTGCTGCTACTACTTACCCACCTACGTTGGGACGGAAGGTGGACAAGGCCAAGCAGAGATCTGACCCGGTACAACTAAAGCTGGAAAGGAATTCTTGGCTGTGGTGAATGTGGGAGAGGCGTACAAGTACCTGGGGGTCAAAGATGCTCTAGACACTGCATTGTAACAGAGCCAAATCCTTCGCGTCATTAGCAAGGCGAAGAAGGATATCATTAAGCATCTCAGATCAGAGCTCCTCTCCTGAGAGAAGTTGGATGCGGTGCGCAGTTTTGTGATGTCGCGGCTGGACTATCACCTCAGGCATTGCTACACTACAAAAATTTGGCCGTGTTCGATCCTTATCTACGTGCCATTCGGGGAAGGGCATAGAAATCGGCGTGTTCCAGCAACCCATTTCGAATGGAGGGATGGGCTGTACATCCATTCACACGATCGAAACAGCAACACAGATTGGGCATACCATCCAAATGATGTAGGCGGTGTCACATCTACTATGAAATCCAGGTTCTTCCCGTCTTGTTTTTGGTCCTGGCGAGTCTGCATTAGTCCTGATATGTGGGCGTACCGATACTTCTGACAGATAGGGAAGCAATAATCTACTAAGGGATTTATCTTAAACCACCATGAGGAACTGGGCGCTTTCCCCACTACTTCATTGACCCCGCCATGATCAGCTACAGCATGATCGTACACTTCGCGGAAAGCCTCAGCGCGAGGTGGGGCCAGGACGTATAATGGCAGTAGCCCATTGTTTGTCTAGTACCACAAGACTTTATTCCCCATGCTGCAGTCCTAAGATGCCGAATTGCTCAGGGTGGGAAGAAAACTAACTGCGTGAGTATCTTACGATATGTTCTGCGGCGCACAGGCTACTTTCCATACAAGGAAATTTTGCCTTTTGAAAACGTCTTGAAAAAGCGATAATTTTGTGTTTTTCTCGTGTTGTCGAGTTGCTAAGAGTGCTCTCCTAGCAACGCATTAACAGTCGCATCATTACCATCGGTTGTTCTGGAGAAGGGCTTCTACAAATTAGGGAGCAGGAGCCCTGGAGAGAATGCTGCACGACTGAAGTGATTGTTGACGGCTCAATCTTCGGTCTCTATCCAAACAAGTTGTCCTTGATTCGACATTAGGGATGCATCGATGCAACTGTGTTCCGGAGGGCAGCCGGAAGCAAGACCGAGGAAATTCCTGTTGGCTGTCGTTCGGTTTCATTGAACTCTGGAAAAGCGTGAAAGTGACATAAAACAGAGAGTAGGCTTTTCAAATACACGTGGCTGAGCTGAGGAGACCCCCTCCCCCCCCTCCCTCCCAATGCGATGAGGGAGTCCCTCTGAGGCGTGGGGTTCGGGGTTCGCGCTTGCCTCACTGGTGTATGTGGCCCTATAGAGTGTAAATGCAAATCATCAACCTTATCCTATAACCGTACTGAGGTGAAGAGAGAATGCTTACCCTACGTGTAGGCATTCCAACGCTCATTTTCCATGGGCGAACTAAAACCCCAACCAACTACGAAATCACTCCAATTATAGGTGTTCCTGGAAAACAGTTTGCTTCTACTCCTGTGTTTAGGCATCCTGAGCACAGCGCCAGGGACGTGGGGTTGGAGGGAAGAGGAGGCTCCATATCCTCCACGGTTTTTCTCTGCAACGCCTGCTGCACAGGAAACCCTACGTGTAAGCACTCCAAGGCTCATTTCCCATAGGCAAACTCAAGCCCCAATAAAACTATTAAACATTTCCTTGACTTTCAGTACCCAAATGCTGCACACAACTATGGACAGGCACTGCTAAGCAAATGTGGAATGTCTAGAAGGTTCGCATTTGTCTGTTGCACTAGTTTCGTTAACAACATGATCTTACATAAAATCACGACGGGACAGAATGCTTTGGGGTGTAGTTTGGCCAAGAACCCAACTGCTTGCAAAACTGTACGTGCCTCAAAGGCATAGCTAGCCTGCAAAACAAGAAGATCGACCCTTTCGGAAGTAGGCTATCTTTAATAAACACAAATAATGCAGCATGCACGGCTTTGGCTGGAACTGATAGCCGCATGCTTGTGCATGCACGCATCCAGTGTTGCAGCCCGCTGTTAGGACAAGTCAACGCTGCAAACCTCCAACCAAATCTAACAAAACAGCGGCCTCCTTCCATCGTGCTCACTCAGGGGGCCTGAGCTGCGGGCAAGGGAGCTGAGTGCGAGAACGGATATACCGCTGAACTATGTTCCTCTCCATGATACTTCACAACTAGAAGTGAATGCCTATATTTGTGCATAACGTGCATGCATATTTGCATATAGGCCTGTACGCATGCACAGGCGAGTGGGGGGCCACACCAGGTGTACGCGCATACCAACGGAGAAAGCACGTCTGCGAATATACACGCAGGTGTAGGCACACAAGCAATGCGATCTGTTAATTCACAAAGAAAGGCATGGTTCCTTGTGAATTAACAAGGCAGACTCCTTTTGTTTTGCTCCGAATGTTTTAACAACATTCGGAGCAAAACAAAAGGAGTCTGCCTTGTTTAAATCGCAGCACAACCTTACGGAAACATTGACTTTGTCGCGTGTGCATGCTCATAACATACTTTATGCATGATTGCTAGAACTTGTGACTTTGTAAGCATTTTATTCCTTCTATTCCGCTCTGCAACTGCCGTTGAGACCTCACTGCACAAATTCATGCTGAGGTGTATATACACCTCAAGAACCAAATTGGCGCCCTCCTTTCGCAAGAATTTTCACTGCAGATTCGATGGGGCCCGCTGGGGCTGGGTGGTTCCAGCCCCGTTGTCTTTTCGCCGTTAGCATCTATTTTTTTCCAACAGTTTTTCGATTTAAATCAATTTCTGCTCTGAAGTCAACCCAGGGAAGAACCAGGAAGACGCAACGCCACTTCTGGACTCACTTTTCTGTGGGTAGTTCACGGTCACGGATTCGATGGCTGCCCTTTTGCCCCCTTCTCTCCTTCTTAGGACTCTCTTTATCAACGCTAGTTTAATTGCTGCTAAATCCAACTTCAACAGCCGCATCAGCAGGAGCAGCAGCAAACAGTGCTAGAGCGCTTGGCAGTTGGCAAGAGGAGTAACTCCTCACTGCTTGGGATTGGCTATTAGCACCTCGCCTTGTACGACCTGCACTCAAAAGAAGTTTCTTCTTTTCTACTATTATTAGGTATCCTTTGTTTTCTCTGATGGGTCCCTACACAACTGTTGTATCTCCCGTTTAGCAGCAGAATGGAGATCTGCATGAAAGAGGAAGCGACGGGGGCTGCTGCTGCTGCCCCGGCCTTGAAGAGCCCCACTGCAGCAATTGCAACAGATTTCATCTCAGCAGAGGCTACGGACGCTTCTATGGAAGCAGCAGAAGAAGCAGTGCATGCAAATGACCACCAGATAACGAACGAGCCTGCGGTGTCGCTACACCCCCTCAAGATTCCATTTTATGAAGCTGTAGCGAAGCAGCTGCTAGACGACGAGTAAGCAAGCAAAGGCTTTTCTATTGTTTCGGCTGCTGCAGCACTCACGATCTCCTCTTGCTGTTGCTATCCTTGTTGCTGCTGCCGTTGCTGCTGCCTCGTGCAACTCCAACACCATAGCAACCGCAGCAGCGGCAGCAGGTTTTGCTGCAGCAACAACAGAAAAAGGCAGGTGAAGCAGCACTTCTGTATGCTTTTCATGCAAATGCCTCTTCGTGTGCTGCGGTGTCAGTGTCTCGCCTATGCTGCATTTTGCTGGTGTTTGCTCTTCTAGGCTAAACGAGGTGGCTGTGGCATTGTGTGCTGCTATGCACCTGCGAGCGAACCCGCTGCTGCCCCCAGACTTGCTGTTCTCTATTTTCAAGGCTGCTGCATTCCAGCCTTCGCAAGAGGAAGCAGCAGCAGCAGCAGCCGCGACAGCAGCAGCAGCAGCCGCACAGGACTTGCTACTGGGCCGTCAGCCGAAAAAAGAAGCCCCAGATGGAGCGCAAGATGTAGCAGCACCAAACGCTGGGGAGGAAGGTGTAAGGCCTGGAGAAGCAGTAGCAACAGAGGCTGCAGCAGATGAAACAGCAGCAGCTGAAGCAGCAGCAGCCACTGCAGGGGAGGCGGCGCCTGCGCCAGAGCCATCCCAGCAGCAGCGGCAGCAGCAGCAACTTCAGTGGCAGCCGCTACGTACACGGCCTGTTCCAGGCATGACTGAGGCGGAGCGGCAGTTTGTATTTAATCCTTACTCTGGTTCTCAAGGGGGGCCCCCAGGGGGCCCCCAAGGTGGGCCCCTAGGGGGGCCCCAAGGCGGCGTTGAGATGGCGAACGGTGCTGAGGGAGGCATGATGGCGAAAGTTATTTGCTCCTTTTCTATGCAGCAGGTGAGCTTTGTTTTTGTTTTAAGAAAGGGTTAAAAAGGGTTTGGAGGGAGGGGGGTTTACGTTACTGAGATGTAAAGAAATAGGAAGGGACCCGTAGCAGCAATTGCAACTGATCTGCGCTGCACCTACACCGCAGCAGAACTATAAGGGTTCGTTCTGCTGCTGCTGTTGCTGTTGCTGTTGCTGCTGCTGGTGTTTCTTGCTTCTGTTTAGAGCTGCATCAGCACTGCATGCAGCAAAGACATGACAACTGTTGCTGCTGGTTTCCTCAACGGATCGGTGCAGCTTGCCTCTATCAACGCAGCTGAGGGGGCTCCCATGGGCCCTTCGCAATTTGGAGCTGGCGGACCCCCGGGGACCCCTGAAAGCAGCAACGCCAAAACCCTCTTTACACACGAAGGACCCGTCAGCTGTCTCGGCATCAGCCCAGACAGGTGACTGACTCAAAACCCTAAACCCTAAACCCTCCCTTCGCATGCAGCCATAAGCCCCAAAACCCTAAACCTTTCCGCTCTAGCAACGCAACGCAAACACACTACACCCTCTACTGCAAGGTATAGGGTTTAAGGTTTAGGGTCTAGGGTTTAGGGTTTAGGGTTAAGGGCGTAGGGTTTGGGGGACTGGGCTGCACTGCAGGAGAATTTGTTTTAGCGGGAGTTTTGACAGCACTGTCAAACTCTTTGATATCAGCACCACCAAAAATAAACCCTCAGGGGGGCCCATTGGTATGCAGCAGCAGCAGCAACAACGGCAGCGGCAGCAGCAGCTGTTTTATTGCCTCGTTCGTTTATCACACAGTTGTCTTTGGGCGTTCTGGTGTCGTTGTTGTTTTTGCATTTTGAGTATCCTTTTTTTCGTCTTGATGTTTCCTCTGTTAGTTGTTTGTTTATTTTCTCGTTCTTGTTTCCTTCTGTTTCTGCTACGTCCAGCCCCCTCTCCTCTGCTCTTCTTCTTCCTTCGTATGTGCCTTTTACAGTCTGTTTGAGCTAATACAAAAGACCTTCCTCTATCGCTTTTTTAATTCTATCTCTTCCTTTTTCTGTTTCTGTTTCGTTCTCTGCCTCCGCAGCAACCCTCGCCGACATATACCCCGTTACTTGCTTGGCTCCGCACCCCTGTGGGGAGTATTTGTATATAGGCACTTCTCACCCTGTTGTGCGTCTTTACGATTTAAATACTTTAAGAGCATTTGTCTCTCTAAGGGGCCCCGGGTCCCGGGGGGCCCCCGGACCCTCTCCACACCAGAGGGGCCCCTTAACAGATATCAAACCCAGTCAAGACGGAACGGTACTCGCAGTTGCCAGTGAAGACGGCACCATTCATGTATGATTGTAAACAAAGTAAATAAATAAATTGATTAAGTACATTATGTGCTACTTAGTGTATGGTTAGCCTCCTGCTCCGGGGGGGGGGCTGGGGAGATTACAACTTGAGGGAAAAGGATTAGCTGCAGGGATCAGTGACGTCTTGTTGCTGCTGCAACTACTATCGCTGCTGCTGCTGCTAGGGCTGCTTTTGCTGCTGCTGCTGCTGCTGCTGATGCTGCTGCTGGGGGTTGGTTTGGGGTGTATATGCAGTTCTTCGACGGCGTGACGGGGCTGCTGGTAAATCGGCTTCCTGATGCGCACAAGTGAGTAGATAGAATTTTGTTTTAATTAAAAGTTTCTTCTTTCTTTGCTCGGGGGCCGCTACATGGTAGACAGATGCCCGCGAGTGCAGGCTCGGGTGTACAAGCAGCTTATGACTGACGGTGAACTGACGGCTTCAAATTCAGGGTTTAGGGTTTAGGGTTTAGTGTATTGTGCGACTGCTCTTGCAGCGGGATGCCAGTGACTTCCCTCATGTGGTCTCGATCGGGGAGGTGAGGAGACATCGAGGTGTATATACACCTGAATGAGGTGCAAATACACCTCATTGAGGTGTATATACACCTCACCTACCACTTGTGTTTGCTTGCGGTGAATTGGCGAGGTGTCTTTTATTCTGTTATGTTTCTTCTCTCTGTCTTGTCTTTCTGGTCGTTTTTGCCGCTTGGGTGTGCATGCGTTGTTTCTCCCGCTGTGCTTTTTCTTGTTGGACGTTTCTGGCCTGTCGTTTTATTTTTTTATATTCAATTCTTTTCTTCCTTTTCACCCACATCGTACTTACAAAAAATACCTTACTCTCCCATATTGCTATATGTATACAAATATATACATATGTGTGTATATGCATATATATATGCATATACATATATGTGTATATACATATATATATGCATATATATCTATATATTATGTGTTGCAATTGTACGGCATATATGTGCAGATGCATTTTTGTTTGTACATGTTTGTGCATTTGCACGTGGGCTGTCTGATGGGCCTATTTATTTATCTATCGGTTTGTTTATCTGTTTGTCTATTTATTTGTTTATTTGTTTGCTGATTAATTTTACTCCTTTTCTTTTTTTCTTTTTTCAGGTTCTTGCTTTCTTGTGGATTCGACGGCAACTCGCGGATATGGGATGTGCGGAAGGGCGAGCAGGTGGGGTTTCTTCTTTTGCTTTTTTTGTCTTGTTTGCTTTTTTTCCTGCTGAGTGACTCCTTTTGGTGTGTACGTACACATGGGCAGGCATGCAGTTGAAACAAAGACAAGGAGAGAGAAGGAAACGAGAATAGATTGGCAGAAGCAACAGGGTTGTCATCTCGCAACTGCATGCAGTTTGTTGGCGCTGTTTACTTCCGTCTGCTCAATCTTCTCTTTCCACTGTGGAGTGGTTTGCTGCTCCATCTGCTGCTGTTGCTGTTGCTGCTGCTGCTTCTACTGTTGCTGCTTCTGCTGCAGTTCCTTGTTATTCGTACGGGCAACAGAGGCGACCGAAGGGCAGTTTCTGTCTTTTTGCAGTCAGAGGCCTTTATTGCTTCTATCGCTGGGAGTGGTATTAAGAAAAATAATTTTAAAATAATTATCTTTGTCCTTTTTTATCTTTTTCATCTTATTATCTGTATTCTTATCTTTATTCTTTGCTTTGTTGTATCCTTTGTATTATTTGTCTTACTTTTTTAATTATCTCTGTTCCTTTCTTTTTGTCCTTGTCTCTGCTTTTTCTTTTTGTCTTTGCATTTGTGACTGTCTTTGTTTTTTCTCTTTGTTGTTGTCCTTGTGCTTGTTTTCTTTATTCTTTTTGTCTGTATGATTTTCTTAGTATCCTTATTATATTCCTTTTTTCTTTGTTATTATTTTACATTGTCCTTATTGTTTTTTTATATTGGCTTTATTGTATTCGTTTTGTCTTCATAATGCTGTCTTTTCCTTTTCCCCCTCCCTCTAGCAGTAAGCGGGTTGGTTAAATTTTATTTCCTTTTTCTTGTTTTTGTTTGTTTTTATTTTGTTGTTTTGTCACCTTAAACAGAACAAGGATCTCCTCTTCGTTTATTCAATGCATACACTGGGGCGTCTGTCTCCTTTAGCCTTCCGCCTTCGCAGAGCAACAGGCTTTCACGGTTTGTCCTTATATTTATTTTGCTTTTTCTGTTTTTGTTTCCTTTCTTATTTCTATTTGTCATTTAAATCCTTTTTGGCGTCTCTCCCTCTTCTCTTTCTCTTCTGCTGCCGCTGGATTCGCTGCTCTTCTTCTTTACTCCTTTTTTCACCTCTGTTGGTTCTTCCTGCTTGTTGGTTGTCTTTGTTATTGTCCTATGTTGCTTGTTATTTGTTCTTGTCTCTGTTGTTTTGTTGTTCGTTTTTCGTTGTTTGCCTTTGTCTTTGTCTTTGCTTTTTGTTGCCTGCCTTTGTCTTTGTTTTTTGTTGTTTGTGTTTGTCCTTTGTTGTTTATTTTTTGTTTATTTGTTCGTCTCCGTCCGTTGCTGTTTGTTTTTCCTTGTTTATTTCTTATTTTTGTTGTTTAGGGTTTTTGTTGTTTGTCTTCGTTGTGCTTCTCTTGTTTGTCTTGGCCTCGGTTGCTGTCTTTGTGTTGTTGTTTGCCTTTGTCTTTTCCTTCTGTTTGTTCTTTTGTTTCTGTTGTCTCCTTTTTGCCTCCGTTGCATGCTTGCTTCATTTGTTGTTTTCTCTGTCTTTATTTTGTCTTCTTTATTTTTCTTGAAGTCCATAGTTTACTCTTTTTCTTCTTTTTGTTCTCTTCTTTGTCTCTCGCCACTACGCAAGAGCACCACTATCTGCTGCTGCTGCTGCTGCTGCTGCTATTGTTTTGTTTTGCTGCAGCAACATTTGTGCCCTTGCTGCTTCTCCCTCGGCCTTTGCATGCGTTGTGGGGTCAGCAGACGGCGAGTGAGCTGACCCTGTTGAGGTGTACATACACCTCAAGTTTATTTGTTGTTATATTTGCCTTTGCTTTTATCTCTTCACACGTCTGAATAGCCATACATATATATATATATATATAGCTTGCGGATGACATATATCTACTGTTTGCTTTCTTCGTGCTTGCCTGCATGCGTTCTGTTTCTGTTTAGTCTTTGTCTTTGTCTTTGTATTTCTGTCCTTGTCTCTGCCTGAAGCGTTGATCGTATATGTATATATATATATGTATATGTATATATATTTATGTATATGCATATATATATATATATATGTGTATACAATATAACATATATGTACTGAATTTTTATATAATTGCTTAATACGTTATTTGCTTTATTTGTTTTTTTGTTTTTCCTCTTTGTTGTTATGCAGGTGCCATACATTGAAATTCTCAGTCTCCTCGCCGCCCTAAGCCACCCCCCGCTGACGTTTGTTTCTTTTATTTCTTTTTCTGCTGGCACTCGTCTCCTCTTGGTTTGCTTTGCAATCAATAAACAAACAAGTCTTTAGCGATGCGCGTTAAGGCAAAGCGCAAGGTCTAGGGTTTAGGGTTTATGGCTTAGGGTTTAGGAATGCCTTCGGTTGGAGACCGCATGCGGCGCAGAGTCCAGCGAGCTCAGTCATCTCATGTTTTAGGGTTTAGGGTTTAGAGTTCAGGGGCCAATTGCTAGGGTTTACGGATCAGGGCTTGACAACCGGGGTTTAGGGCTTGGGGTTTAGGGTTTAGGGTTTAGGGTTTGGGGTTTTAGCGCTGTCGAGCGGCAGACAGCAGCACCTGACCTTGAGCTTTACATACAGCTGCAGGAGGTGTAGAGATCATCTTTATAAGAAATGCAATTAGGTAGACAGGCTCAGTCTTTGCTCTATGCTACGTGTAGGCAGCTAGCCAGCTGGCTAAATAGCTGGCTAGCTAGCTAGCCAAAGGGCTGGCTACCGTAGCTAGCTAGCTAGCTACATAGCTAACTAGCTAGCTAGGTAAATGGATAGCTAACTGCGAAATCGCTAAATTACGAATTAACTGCTGCTCGCTATACAGCGGCATCCGTCTGGTACTCAGCCGTCTCTTTCGGCGTCTCCGCCGCTGCTGCTGGCTAGCGAAAGCGCTACCTAGCTAGCTAGCTAATTAGCAAATTAATTTGTTCGGTTGGTATAACGGCTCTTGACTGGACTACTTGAGCAGCCGACGCAGGGACGGGCGGTAAGCCTGAGGTGTACATACACCTCAGAGGTGTCCATACACCTCAGACGTGCCCATACATCCCAGAGCTGCCCATATACCGCAGAGCTACCCATACACCCGACTGGTGCCCATACAGCCGGAAGGCGGCCATACACCCCAATGCGTTGAGGTGATTTAATCTGCTTTAAAAACGAATTGAATGTGTTTATTTAAGTTGTTTATTATTAAATCATTCAGTCGACTACCTGAAGAAAACAAACAAGCAAACAAGCATTTAAGAAGCCGGCAAATCCAGCACACAGACAAACAGCCGCTGCATAAAACAACAAATATACAGAGATAGGTTCTGTGATATACTGAGAACGAACAAAAAAACCAAACAAACAAACAAACAAACAAACACATAAGCAGACAAATAAACAAATTAACAACTAAACAAAACAAATAAATAGATAAACAAATAAACAAGGAAATAAACAAAGAGACAAGACATGCTCAGGTGCCTCTTCTATTTATTTATGCAATACACTAAGTGAGGCAACAAAACAACTAAACAAAAAAGAATAGAAAAGGACAACTGGACAAATACGAATAGGACAGTAATATGGCAAGTAAACAAATAAAACAATAGAAGAAATAAACAAATAAACGAATAAAACAAAACAAATAAACAAAAAAAAACGTAGAACAAATGAGCAAATGAAAACAAATAAACACATAGCGCAACAAACTACAAAGCAGTTAAATAATCCAGCTATCTGCATTAAAATAAACAAACATGCATAAAATAACAATAACAAACCCTAAGAAGATAAACCGATAGAAGAAGACAAAGGAGACAGGCTCAAGGGGCCGCTGCGGTTTTGGTGCTGCTGCTCTTTTGCTGCTGCTGCAAGGAAGCAAACAAGCACATAAAACATATTAAATAATGAGCAAACGAAAAGTAAAACAAATAGAAAACAAACAATTAATAAATCAATGGCAAAGAGTTTATCAATAAATCAATCAAATAAGTGTACAAACGCGCGTAAACCCTAAACCCTAAACCGTAGGCCATACATACAACTGAAGAAACTTAGCATGCGGATTAAAACCCCCATTGGACCCTATACCGCACAGCTTAGACCCTAAACAGCAAGCCTTAAACCATATCCCTCTAACCCTAAACCCTAAACCCTAATCCCTGAGGGTTTCGCAACTCGCCTGTCTCTGACGCCTGAGTAGACAGAGTGCTGCTTCTTCTCGTTTGTGATGTCTTTGTTCTTTCTAGAGGGTTTATGATGCCAGTGATTGGAGAGGCTTTAAAAACTTTGTTGTAATTCTTGTCGCTGTACGTACACCCCACTGCATGCAAAGGGTCTTCTTTTACACCCCATACAAACTTTCTCTATGCAGATATATATATATATATACATATATATATATATATATATATATACGCATAACTTTTATCAGTGCATAGTAGTACAATAATATACACAATGTATATATAGGGCTCATGTATATATGTATATATATAAATATATATAATATAATTATATGTTACATTAAAAATAAATACCCCATAGGTAATACATATGGAAATATGTATATATATATGTATGTATATATATATATATATATATATTTACATATATGCATATATATATATATATGTATGTATGCATTTATGAATATCGTACTTAAATAATATACGAATACGCATTCTATACTGAAATAGCAAATTGAGGCAGGCAAAGAAATAAAGAAACAAACAAAAAAAGAAATCAACAAACAAACAAATGAAAAACAGAAATAAGCAGTGAAAACACAAGCAAATAAACGAATAAACATTAGAAGACGCAAGCAGGCAAACAAACATATAAACATAAAACAAGCAAACAAATAAACAAATGAAGAAACAAAATAAATAAATAGATACATAAATAAACAACTAAACACGCAACTAAACAAACACAAAAAAGATAAAGGCTCACTGAGTTAAGAGCTCCACCCTCAAGCGACGAATTTGCTCTTCCCGTTGGGCCAGGATGGCCTGCTACCAAACCCTAAACCCTAAACCCTAAACCCTAAACCCTAAACCCTAAACCCTAAACCCTAAAGCCCTAGCCCCCCACGCCTGGTCCGTTTCAGTGTGAGGCTTTGCAAAGAGGCCTGTGGCACTGTAACCCAACACTTAAACCCCAACCCCCAAACCCTAAACCCTAAACCCTAAATCGTCTCACTTTGGCTTGGCTGAGTGCGGTTTGTAGCTGCTGGATAGTGTTTATATCTTCTTCTCTGGAGGGGCGCTGCGCCAGTGTTTGTTGCTGCTTCTTGTTTATTTGCTGTAGAGACAGAAGTTGTTGCTGCAGTAGCTCCTTTTCTGCTTGTTGCTCCTCTTGCAGCTCTTTCACTGTCTCCTCGTGCTGCCGCTGAGCGCAGCAACAATAAACCCTAAACCCTAAACCCTAATCTCGCTGTTGCACTGAGCGCAAGTCAAAGCTGCAGCGCTGCTGCTCTTGAGAAGCCAGAATACCACATGCTGCTGCTGCTATTTCTGCTGCTGCTTCTGGTAGTGCTGCTGCAGGAGCAGCTCATGCCGTTTGAGGTGTTGCTTGCTGGCTTTGTTACTGCTTCTGCTCCTGGTGCTGCAGCAGCAGCTGCTGGTGCTGGTTTTAGGGTTTTAGGGTTTGTGTGTTGGGGTGTATGTACCTTGAGGGTTTGCTCGCTGAGTTTTAGTATGAGGTTTGCTGTTCTTTCTTTTTGTTTCATTTCTTCTTCTTTGTCTTTTAGTTGTTGTTGCAGTCTTTCTGTCTCCTCTTTAAAAGCAGCAGCAGCTTCTCTCCTTTGGGCCTCCGCCTCCGCTGCCGCCTGCTGGTGCATTTTTAATTCGGAGCTGCACTGCTCGCGTTGCTGCAACACAGCACTCAAATTAGGGTTTAGGGTTTACGAATGAAGGGCGGAGGGGGGGGTTGCGGTTTATGCGTCACGATTGAAGAATGTGGGGGAGTCTAGAATTCAGGGTCTAGGGCTGAGAAAGGGATTAGGGTTTAGGGTATAAGATTGAGGGGACGTTTAGGGTTTAGGGTTGGGGCTTTAGGGTTTATGGTTGGGGGTTTAGGGTTTAGGGTTGGGGGCGTAGGGTTTGAGGTGTACTGCTGTGGGTTTAAACAAGACAGCTGCTCTACACGCAGGGGCGTAGTGTTTAGGGTTTAGGGTTTGGTGTTACTTGATTGGAGGCTTCGAGCTGCTGCTTTAAGAGGTGCGCCTCTTCTGTTGCGCGTCGGAGCTTTGCTGCTGCTGCTGCTGCTGCTGTTTCTGCTGCTGCAGTCATGCTGGCCCTTAAGCTTTCTCTCTCTCTTTGCTGTTGCGCTTTAATCTCCTGTTGTTGCATGCGGTGGTTGCAGAGGACTGCTTGCAGCTGCAGCAACACCAGCATAAGGGTTTAGGGTTTAGGGTTTGGGGTTTGGCATTCAGTGTTTAGGGTTTAGGGTTTAGGGTATAGGACCTGCGCGGCGTGGCTGGCGGCGAGCTTAGCCCTCAAAGCTTCTGCCTCCCCTTCCTTTTGCTGCTGCATCTCTTTTAAATCCACTGCATGCTGCTGCTGCATTGCTGCTTTTTCTGCTGCTGCAGCTTCGGCAGCGGCAGCAGCAGCAGCAGCAAGGGCCTGCTGCTTCTCCGCCTCAAGTGTCTCCTTCTGTCGCTCCATCTCTCGCTGCAGTTCTGCTGCTGCTTCCCTGTTTATTTCCTTTTCAGCAGCAAGAACAGCTTTCAATTCACTCACTGTCTGCTGCAGCAGCTGCTCCTGCACCAGCAACAACGACAAGAGCAGTAGCAGCAGCAGCAGCAGCAGCATCAACAGCAGCAGCAGCAACAGCAAGACGACAACGGGTGTTCATTGACGCTCTCGAGAGGAAGGGCCCCTTTCTTGTTGCTTGCTGCCAGATGCTCAGGAGCGGCAGCAGCAGAAGGAGCAGCTGCAGCGGCAGCATTAGCAGTAGGAGCAGTACAAGAGCAGCAGAAGCAGCAGGAGCGGTGCATGCAGGAGCAGCAGTAGCACAAACAGCAGTGGCAGCAGCAGCAACAGTAACAGCACCAGTGGCAGCAGAAGGATAATAGTCAGCTTGCCTGTTCGTATAGGTTGTGCATTTCTTCTTTTTGCTGTTGTATTATTTTATCTTTGTCTTCTGCTTGCTGCTGCAGCAGCTTCAATCGACACTGAAGACTCTTTTCTGCTTCCCAGGCTTCTCTGTTCTCCCTTTCATATTTACCTTTGCTGCAGCTCAACTCGAATTCAAGTGCTGCTGCTCGTTGCTGCTGCTGCTGCAGCTGCTGCTGTAGCTGCTTCGCCCTCCGCGAGCCCTCCTGAAAGCACAGACCACTACAAATAAGGGGTTAGGGTTTAGGGCTACCAACTGGAAGGAAGCAGCAGCAGCAGAAGCAGCAGCAGCAGGAGCAGAGGTGGCAGCAGAACCAGCAGCACCAATGCCAGAAGCATCAGCAACAGCAGCAGAAACAGAAGCAGCAGCAGAAACAGTCACAACAGCAGCAACGCTAGCAGAAACAGCAACAGCAGCAGCTGCTGCTGCAGCGTTGCCAGATGCACCGACGGCAGCAGCAGCAGTAACAGAGCAGGCATCAATGACAGCAGCATCAACCAAACTCCACACAATAGATGAAGCAAGAACAGCAACAGCAGCAGCAACAGCCGCAGCAGCAGCTGCAGCAGCAGCAGCAGCAGCACCTCTTTGGCTTGTTGCGCATTCTGCTGAGCCTCCTCTACGCTGGCGCTGAGAGCGAGAATCTGCTGTTCTCTCTCTTTCATTTCCTCTTCTTTCTGCTGCACCTCCAACAATAAACCCTCTTCTGCTGCTGCTCTATCCGCCAGCTTCCTGCAGCCCATGCTAAACCCTAAACCCTTAGCCCTAAACCCTTAACCCTAAACCCTACGCGGCCGATTCATTATCCCTGCAACACTTGTGGTAAACCCTAAACCCTAAACCGACAGTTTGAAGGTGAACACAGAGACAGGTGCACCTGGAGGGAGGCTGGAGGCGTACGTGTAGCTTTAGGGTTTGGGGCGTAGGGCTTAGGGTTTAGGGTTTAGGGTTTAGGGCTTATATTATGCCTTTCGAGCTCTTGTACTAAAAAGCACTTCTCGTTTCTTTCATTCTCCACCATCTCCAGTTGTTCCCTTAGCTGCAGATTAAACATCAATCCTCAGCAAGGGTAGGGTTTGTGGTTTAGGGCTTAGGGACTAGGGTTTAGGGTTTAGGGTTTAGGGTTTACAGGCACCTGGCGAAGGGCCTCTGCTGCAGTCGCATCCTTTTCGGCTGCCTCTCGCCGAGCCGAAAGCAGCACTTCTTCCACTCTTCCTTGTGCGTTGCTCTCCTGCAAATGCAAAACCCTAGACCCTAAACCCTAAACCCTAGGGCCCAGCCCTGGTTCTAGGCAGCAACCACAAAGGGCTATTCGGCAACCTTAAACCCCAAACCCTAAAACCCCTAAAAACCCTAATCCCTGGAGGTTTCTTGTCTACCTGTAAACCCTATATGTATTTCTTGTTCTTAAACCATAAACCCTAGAGGTGAATTGCTAAACCCTAAACCCTCATCTGGCCTCAATCGGAGCCCTCAAACCCTAATTTAACACTCTAATTTTCTCGTACGCTCTCTCTCAGTTTGTTTATAAACTCCTCGTTTGCCTTTTGTGCATTTTCTTCCGCTTGCTTCGCCTCTTGTAGCTAAATAAGCAAACAACAACACCAAACATGCATACACGTCTTACTTCTCTAGGGTTTAGGGTTTAGGGTTTAGGGTTTAGGGTCTGGCATTTAGAGTTTAGGGTGTAGGATCTAGCGTTTAGGGTTCAGGCTTTAGAGTTTAGCCGTTAGTGGTTACGGATTTAGAGGTTTAGAGTTCAGGGTTTCCGTGTTCTAGGGTTTAGGGTTTAGGGCTTAGGGTTTAGGCGCACTGCCTGCTGCAGCTGGTCTCTTTGCATTTGAATGTTGAAGAGTTGCTGCGCCTGCTTATCAATAAGGGATTTAAATGTTTCTTCTGTCTCCTTTTGTCTCTCTGCATTGTTTCTAGCGGTCTCCTGCAGCAGCCCTGTAGATACACCCCAGCAACCTAAACCCTAAACCCTAACCCCTCAGCCCTAAATCCTAAATACAATACTAGAGAGACAATAGGCACTCACGCCCTCGCCTCCTTTTTCAGGTGTACAGACACCCGAAACGACGCACAAAACAACACATCCTAAACCCTAAACCCTAAACCCTAAATCTCGCCTCTATTTCAAGCCGTGCAGCAGTTTTGATAGCTAAGCTCCCTAGGGTTTGTTGTTTATTGCGTATTGTGTTCTGCTTATTTTTGTTTAGGGTTTAGTGTTTACGGTATAACTAGGGTTTAGGGTTTATGATTTACCTTCTAGCGTTTTGCATTTGTCGTTGAGTTGCTGCAGCTGCTGCTCTCTCCCCATGGCCTCTGCTTCATAAGCAGCAACTTTGCTGCTGAGTTCTGTTGCTGCTGCTGCTGCTGCTGCCGCTGCTGCAGCTTCAAGTTCAACCTTAAGAGAAAGGGTTTTTGCAATCTCCTCGTTGCTCCCCTGTAGCCGCCGACACTCCCTGCTCAGCCGGCACAAACCCTAAACCCTAAACCCTAAACCCTGAACCCTAAACGCTAGACAAGAAACCCTAAAGCCGAAACCCTAACGCCTAAAAACGTAAACCTAAAATCTTAAACCCTAAACAATAAACAATAAAACCTAAACCCTAATTTCTAAGCAATAATCCTAATGCCCTAAACGCTGAAAACCTAAACCCTAAACCTTATTCTTTAGCTTGCAAAGAGGCAATGGCGTTCGAGGCAGCAACCGAATGGTGGCACAGGAATAATGAAGTTCGCCTAGGGTTTAGGGTTTAGGGTTTAGGGTTTAGGGTTTGCGCACGCCTGTAGGGCGTTTATTGCTTGCTTCAGACTTTTTATTTCTTCTTCTTTCTCCCTCACCGCTTCCTGAAACCCTGCAAAGAAATACAGCAAAAACCCTAAGCTCGAAACAAACAAAAACAAAACAAGCAAGCAGATAAACAAATAGAACAAACAAACAAACAAAACAAAACAAAACAAAACAAACAAACAAAACAAAACAAAATAAAAAGGACAAACAAACAAACAAAACAAACTAAATAAAACAAAGACGGAAGCAAGCAGATAAACAAATACAACAAACAAACAAACAGTAAAAAAACAAGAAACAAACAAAGACAAACACAAACAAACAAAGACAAGCAGAAACAAAGACAGCAAAACCAAAAACAAAACAAAATAGAGAGGCAACACAACAGGCAAAACAAATAAACAAAACGAACAAACAAAATAAAACGAACAAAACAACCAAAACAAACAAACAAAACAAACGAGTGAGGACGAGGCAGAGACAAGCAACAGCAAGAACAAACAAACAGCAAAGAATAACAAACAAGAATAAATAAATAAATGAATTAATTAATTAATTAATTAGTAGTGAGATGTACAAACAAACACAAACAAACGAACAAACACACAAACACAACGAAAGCAGGGTATTGATAGGAGACAGTGAAGAGACAGCTTAGTCTCTGCTGAGTGTCTCTTTTAAATTAAACCCTAAACAAACAAAAGGAGAGAGAAGCAACAAACTGAGACAGAGACAAAAAGCATATTGAACTCCACACACCCGCAGCCGATTTGTATTGCTCTCTGCTGCTGCTGCTTCTTCTCCTGCTGCTGCTGCTTGACGCGCAGCAGCCTCAGCTCGCTCCCGCATCTCCTTAAGCCTGCAGCAGCAGCAGCAGCAGCAGCAGCAGCAGCAGCAGCAACAGAAGGTAGATCTGTTGGTGTCGCACTCAACGTGTTTTGAACGGATTTTAGATAGACTCAGCGGGTGCAGCAGCAGCAGCGACAACAGCAGCAGCAGCGGGTACTTTTGTCTCGTACTGTCTCTCAAGGTTGCTGACTGTCTCCTTGTGTGCTTCTTCATCGCGCTGTCTCTGTTGCTGCAGTTTATTTATTTCTGTTGCAATTAACACTGCATGTGCCTCTTGGCTCCGCTGCTGCTCCCTTGACTTGTCTGCAGCAGCAGCAGCAGCAGCTGCTGCTGCTGCTGCTGCCTCCCGCGCTGCTGCTGCCTCCCTCAGTTGCTGCTGCAGCAGTAGACAATCCCCGCGAAGTTTTTCCTTCTCCTAAGACAAAGGACACGCAATGAGGTGTACAGGCACCTCAACACACCACCGCCTTACTAATTCATGCACAGCAATATATATATATATATATATATATATATATATATATATATATATATATATATATA